CCAGTGGCCCATGCACTCTGAGGCCTGTGGTGGAAGTGACAGCCCAGATAATCTCCCAATTACCTTTGAGGTCTTCTTCCTGTGTCTTAAAAAATAGCAAATGTTCACAGCCAAGTAGCTTTATGGTCTGGTCCTGTAGGGTCCAAGAGTCCCAAAAGTACAAGAGTCCAACAGAAATCTTCACTTTAGGGGTTAGGATTATAACATAATGCATTTTGCCGAGAGTCTGTAACACCTGCACACCCTATGCAGATATGACAGACATAGTTTGGCCTTTCCATGATGATTGAGAGTTCTGGTAATGCACAATTATTGGAGTACGACAATAAGATGTCCATGACATTGGCTGGGAAAAGTCCCCTTTGTCAAACAGCGTTTTGGCTATTTGCCAACTTTCTTTTCCCTTCCTCTTCAAACACACAAAACCTCAGAATTTTTGGTTTAGAGGAGAGCTTGGACATTATGCAACCCATCCCCTCTTTCACGGGTCCTATGTTGTAGGATAGCTAAGTGATCACTTGCAACATGAAGCATTTTACATACATGAACCACCTAAGTCTGTGGTTGGTCTCCTTGAGCTCTGAAACCTGGCCTTTTCGTGCAAAGGTGACATGAGAACACAGCCCAAAGCAGGGAGATGGTGAGCCCCAAAGGAGGGTATATAGGTGACAGTTCAGGTGGGGTGACTGCCATTCCTCTCCTTAGCCATTCTACCTCTCCTGTCCCGTGAGGGCCCACTGCTTACTTCTACGTCATTAGTCAGTGCCATGACCATTATTGCTGTGTACCCTTTGTTCTTATTTCTTTCTTATCTAGTCTTTCCCTGTCCTACTTTTTAAATATCAGTCAAGGCATGATAGGTGCTCAGAGAACTGATCAAAGGTGTCAGGTCTGTTCTTCAAGTCTTCAGCTTTTCTTGGCTGGGTGCTAATTGTTGCTTAGTTCTCAACAGTAACTTCTTCATGGCTTTGACGGTTTCTTTTCTGCCTTTTTTTTTTTTTTTTTTTTTTCTTTTACACTTACTTTTTCTGAGTCCAGTGTCATTTTAGAAGTCTGAGGATTCTCAAAGATTAGTCTCTCAATAACCATGATTTTATAGCCATCCCTTCAATGAGGCTTCAGCAAGAGCTGAATTTGGGGCTTCATTAGCAGATGGTTTTCTTCAGGTACCAAAGGCCCTGAGGACTGGGGGATTAAGTCTATTGCAAGGAACATTTTATATGATTTCTGCTCTTTTTTTCTTCTGTTCCTAATGAAGTCCTCTAATCTTCAGAGTCCACCTACTCAGTCTCATTGTGGGACTGTGCTATTGTTTTCCTTCTGGGAAGATAAAAGTGAAGTTTGTTTTATGCTTTTCTTATCCTGGCTTGTGGACTTTGTGGGGAGGACCCATAAGGCTCATCTCATTCAGCCTGCTCAGTTTACAGCTGTGAAAGCTGAAACGTGTTCATCCATGAAAGGTCACCCAGCCATTTGATGTCAGCTTGCTTGTAGGGCCTTGGCTCCTGTGTTTTCCTTTAGTCTCTGTTGTCCTTGTCATTTCTCCCTATTAGATCCACTGGCATGTGTTTTTGTCTCTGTCTTCCTATGTGGTTTTTTTCTTCTTTTTCTTCTGTTCCTCTCTGTTAGTGTCTAGCTTTTCTTTTGCCCAGGTAAAAGGGTCTTATGGTATTAATTGGTCTGTACTTAGTTGGTCTTAGGTTCTTAGTTGGTCTGTACGCAGTGGCTTTCGATCCTGCGGAAGTTGGTTGGTGGTGGTGCCCACGTTCCTGTGGTGCCCAGATGTCATCTGTGACCAGCCGGAGTTAGCAGATCAATTGGAACCTTCCTTCTTTTTCTTTTTCTCATCACTTCCTGCCTTTTCCTTCCCCTTCCATGTCTGTGTGTGCCTGCAGAACACGTAGGCAGAGCATGCCAAAAGAGAAGGTTTTAGATGGATACAGAAAGGGGCAATGGCAGTTTAATCTTCTATGTAAGAAGGATTAGGACGCTAGTGTAGCATGTTTTTAGAGGGATTCTCTTGAAGCCCTGTGTGCATAGCAAACACGTGTCTGCCTTGTTTTCTAAAGATCCACTTATCCACACTTCCCAAAAGATTAGTGAAACTAGAAGTTTTCCACATTGAAGAATGTTGTTGTTGAACAACAACAACAAGTGCGGGCTGGCTTTAGGGGGTGCTGGTGTTGATGGTGGGGGAACTACAAGGCCATTGGGAAAGGGTGGTCTGGGCTATGTGGTCACTTAGACCTCAGGCCTTCCTGGGAGCCTCAATTCCGGGTGACCGCTTCCTGAGCTGAGTGCACACGCCCCCTCTTGCTCCAGTCCTGTCACCTTATTTTCCGTTCTCCTCCCCCTTGGCACGAATTGTTAGATTAAGTAATGAAAATGAATGGGAGAAACAGAGCCCAACGTTAGCCTTCTCCTTGAAAGGCAGTTTTG